CGAGGGGAAAACGAGGGGGCAGAGCACAGAGAGAGGAGGAACAGAGGGTGCAGCCGATGCCGGGGCAGGGGAGGTGATAAAAGCCCTCGCTGCCCGATGCTGGAGGGTGCTGAGACCTCCAGAGGGGATTTGATGGTGCAGGATTGTCCTCCACACCCCAAAATTAACAAAACCCCGGTGCTGGGGGATGCTGAGCCCCCCAGAGGGGATTTGATGGTGCAGGTTTGTCCTCCACACCCAAAAAACAACAAAACCCCGGTGCTGGGGGATGCTGAGCCCCCCAGAAGGGATTTGATGGTGCAGGACTGTCCTTCACACCCCAAAAACAACAAAACTCTGGTGCTGGGGGATGCTGAGCCCCCCAGAGGGGATTTGATGGTGCAGGTTTGTCCTCCACACCCTAAAACCAATAAAATCCCAGTCCTGGGGGCTGCTGACCCTTCCAGAGGGGATTTGATGGTGCAGGATTGTCCTCCACACCCCAAAAACAACAAAACCCCAGTCCTGGGGGATGCTGAGCCCCCCAGAGGGGATTTGATGGTGCAGGATTGTTCTCCATACCCCAAAAACAACAAAACCCCAGTCCCAGGGCTGCCAGACCTTCAATCCCAGAGGATGGGTCAGCACCCAGGCTGTGTGTGCAGCCAGACCCCAAAACTGGGGCTCCTCCTGCACCCCAAAACTGGGGCTCCTCCTGCACCCCAAACTGGGGCTCCTCCTGCACCCCAAAACTGGGGCTCCTCCTGCACCCCAAACTGGGGCTCCTCCCTCCTTTAAGGGCTGCTGGTGGTGTCCCCAAGCCCGAGGCGTGCGGGGCTGGSMRGGGCTGGGCAGGATTCCTGCAGGGCTRGGCAGYTGGGCCGTGCCCAGGACATTCTCAGCTGSTGGGCACCCGGCCAGAGCCCGRTCCTGGCAGCTGGGCCYGGACTGGAATGGCCACAGGTGCTCAGCAGCTGCTCCCTGCACAGCCAGGGAGAGCCAGAGCCCCCAAAAGGTGTAAAATCACCTCCAGAGCCCCCAAAAGCTGTAAAATCACCTCCCCTGCATGGCCAGAGAGAGCCAGAGTCCCTAAAGCTGTAAAATCACCTCCAGAGCCCCTCAAAGCTATAAAATCACCTCCCCTGCATGGCCAGGGATGGGCTTTGCTGCAGGAACTTCCCCCAAAACTGCTGCTCATCCCCTACAGCCACTGCAGGGACAGGGGACAAACTCACAAACCCCTCCAGATCATTCTAGACCAACAGTTCAGGGGGTGTCCAGCTGAATGTCCACACCCCCTGGAGGGACAGGGGACAAACTGACTGTCACAAACCCCTCCAGAGTGCCCATCCCAGCAGCTCAGGGGGTGTCCTGGATGTCCACACCCACTGCAGGAACAGGGGACAAACTGATGGCCACAAACCCTCCAGATCAACTCAGCAGCTCATGGGGTGTCCAGCTGGATGTTCACATGCCCTGGAGGGGCAGGGGACAAACTTAGGGCCACAAAGCCCTTCCAGATCATCCCAGCAGCTCAGGGAGTGTCCTGGATGTCCACACTCACCTCCAGGGACAGGGGACAAACTGTCACAAACCCCTCCAGACCCTCCATCCCATCATCTCAGGGAGTGTCCAGCTGAACATCCACACCCACTGCAGGGACAGGGGACAAACTGATGGCAACAAACCCTTCCAGATCATCCCAACAGCTCAGGGGGTGTCCTGGATGTTCACATGCCCTGGAGGGACAGAGGACTAATTGACACAAAGCCCTTGCAGCTCATCCAGCTGGGTGTTCACACTCCCCAGCAGGGACAAAGGACAAACTGACTGCCACAAATCCCTCTAGAACCTCCATTCCAGCAGATCAGGGGGTGTCCTGGATGTCCAAACCCACTGCAAGGACAAATTGACTGCCACAAACCCCTCTAGAACCTTCCATCCCAGCAGATCAGGGTGTGTCCAGCGGGGTGGGACAGGGGACAAACCGACGGCCATAAACCCCTTTAGATCATCCCATTATCTCAGGGAATGTCCACCTGGATGTTCACACTCCCCAGCAGGGACAGGGGACAAACTGACTGCCACAAACCCCTCCAGACCCTCCATCCCAGCAGTTTTGGGGGTGCCCAGCTGCTCTGTCTGCCCCTGCCAGACCGAAATCCCACCCTGAGCTCCTGCTCCACGCCGCGCCGGCGACAAAACGGCTGAAAATGCAACCAAGGGACGGGCGAAGCGCCAGGGGGGCGGTGGCAGTGACACTGGCGGCATTTCTGTGGCTTGGATGAGGTTCAGGAGAACAGGGGAGATCCCCCCCCAAGTTCTCAGATAAGGCTTCGTAAACACAATGATACAAAAAACATCGAAAACGCGCACACACACACACGCACGCACGCACAAACCGACG